TTAGTCAACACACGACGGTTATTGTGTTATCCACATCACATGCTAAATGTGATTGAACTTGAAATTAGTTACTGAAACTTATTAAGTAGTATGATGAAAAAGCTGAATAGTCTGATAGGGATGAAATAGTATTCGATCACAAATAGATTTAGCAATTGGTAGACATACTACAATGACTACCTTTGATATGGTGGAGAAGATTTGTAGCTCAGGTGGATCATTTTGATGGAGATTTGTTCTCTGAGCTGGATTGTTTGGTTTCGAAACGCATATGGAGAAATTCAAACATTTCACTTCTATCTGAAGTTTGTGCTGATGATGTCGTTCAGAAGAACGATGAAAGCTCCACAACCAAACCATCCGGCTCAGAGAACAGAACTCCATCACAATGACTACCTAGTTTTCCTGATGTTCAGGAAGATAACCATCTAAAACCGTATGAGTTCATGAAACTGCAAATTGACTAAAAAGATAATTTATAGGTGCCTTCCCCCTTCAAGTGCAGCGTAAGCGCACAACAAATACAACTAGTAATGTCAAACCGCCAAATGGAACACATTAAACGGATATTCATATGAGATTTTTAATTGACTGAGACGACCAGCAAGATGACTTGCACTTATATGTCGCTTTTTGCAAAATATTATCTTGAAGTCAGCAACGTGTTAATGACAGCTAAATAAAGAATTACATATGTTATTAAGCATATTTCAAACAATCTTCTTCACTGACGTCTCAGTAGTATACATATTCTGATCGCTTATCGCGTGCTAAACTCAGTATGCATTGTGAATAAGATTATCGGTATATGGGTTGTGGAGATTATTAGGTTTTTGATTGAGATCATGAACCGATTGATGTTAAACCACCGTTGGAAACCTGGAAGCACTGGATGGCCATTTCGTCCTATTTTGGTATTCCGCAGCAGTGGTTTTAGGAAAACAACCGTCTGAAAATAGCACACATTCTTAACGTAGTTATTTTTAGTTACTGCATTGGCGAACAAAAATACGTTTCAAGTTTACCAAATTCAATAAGTCAGAACGGCTGCACTAACACATCTCAGTTCTATCCATTTCTAAAAATATACAAGGTTACTATTCACCATAAGTATGTGCATAAGTTTGGCAGATAAGATAATGAGTTTCCGCTTATAACGATCAAAACTTGCTGTTTGGTAATAAAGTCTAATGTTTATGATCATTAATAATAACATTATTGCTACTTTTTATCCTACTTGAAGTGAAAGAAATTCATAGATTGTAACAAATATAATATCAGTCTTTGTGGTACGATAAATTTCATGTAATATTTGTTAACACATACATCAACAACATCTAGAGAATTTTCTTCATATTTCACCAAACATATCTTGAGAATTGGAAGAACGTATAAGTTAAATTTCTAGACCTTACCAAACATTATTTGTGGAAGAATTGAATAGGCGACAACTCACATGTAGCTCCTTGTATTATTCGTTTTTATAAAACCCATTATATTGTGTGGTAAAAACATATGAATGAAACCAGCTAGTAAACATGGTTTACATATCTTTTTCTTTGAAATGGATTGTTTTGATTTCTCAAATTATGATCATAATGTCATCAATCATCAACAAAAAATTAAAAATCATAATAATTTGATCAAATGTAGTAAACCTGCTTATTCAGTATAGTTAAGGTTCTAAAAGCAATTGAAAAGTGTACAATCCCTCACAAATCATCTGCAGCATAATACGTCCAATGTGAAAGGGATGTTTATATACATTGATCAGATTTATATATAGTAAGGCTTAATCAACTTATTTGTATGATCTATTTTTTTCCAGATCATATAAATAAAGTCAAGAGAAACCTGTTATATTGTCACTACCTATTTACTGTAATTTAGACATCTGATTTGATATGATGTGATTAAAAAGGTAAAACTACATTGTTTTAGTCATTATGAGTTTTGTTCAATGGTACTTCCGTTTTTAATTCAATTTGATAATTAATTAGTATAGTTATTTATTTTGTTTTACCAGTCTCATAATTACGTCGGCATAACATTAATTTATTTGAATGAGATGTTTGTTCAGGATATGATATTCCTGTAATAAAATAACATGAACTAGCTTCAGTAAGATGCTCAGCATGTAATTTGTTATGACTCTGTACATTTCTCAAATATTTTGCCTTATTGTAATTATTAATCAAAATACATATAAAATGAATATAGAAATGAGTGTAATTTCGACTAGGATCGTCGTCGTGTTTTGAGTTTAGTAAATCTTCACTTGTATTAGTCTTGGTGTTATTGTGGTGTGTGCTACTTATATTGATATACGTAGCATATGTCGCGAGTTAAAAGGTAATATCTGGTAGCAGAAGATGAGGTGAAGATCAAGAAAAGAAGAGCGAGAGCACAATGGAATTTGTAAGAAAACGCATGTACAATGGAATGGGAGACAATGGATTAGTGTTTGCAACGGAAACAGTCCAGTTTAATATGATGCATTGATATTTTGCAAATTGACGATTGACTTTATGGGATTCAGATTTTATTCAGATAGTCTGTAAGTTTCGATTGTTCCCACCCGTGTTCGTGTTCTTTACGTTATTACTTCATGTCATAGGAATTATTTATCGAAACAAATAGAAATTAGGAACCAAATTATTAATAATATCCACAAAACCCTTTTTCAAATATATATATGTCACTAATATATGGATGGATCTACTGCAATCTGTTCTGTAGATTAACATAGTTGTTATAATGATAGATCAGTTAAAATAAATCATTCGTAAACAAGCATTCTGTTCGATTGAAAATCTTTTTTTCGAATAATGAGTGAATAAGACACTGTAATATGTTTCACATTCCTGGGTTACTCAATATGTTTGTACATTAGACATTATTAACTGACAGTGAGGATGATTGAAAAAATTGTACAAATATCATAGTTCCCAAAAATGTATTATTACTATGATTTTAGGGAGATTTGATGAATATGCAAAAATGGCCGTGAAGTACATGTTAACCCAAAACTCCATTTGCCTTATTTAGTTCTGTTATTCACCAACGCGATTTAAGTCGATAATTGTATACTAGGATAGCCAGGATGTATATTTCGACAGCAATCACTCAATAACCATTATTCTTCCGATCTAACTGGGCCATTAAAAGACTTTTCGCACAAAATAAGTCGATATATCTGGCATTAATTTGAATTCGGAACAAAATTTTCACTTTTATGTTTCATGAATATAGACAATCTCTAAGATATTTTTCAAAGTAAGATCATTGTAAATGTCACTTTTCATCCAAGTATAAATTAATAGATGCTTCTTTAATGGCATAATGTTGAATCACTTATCCTACTGAACACTAGGTAGGCGATGATAAGATTCGAAATAGTAAATCCGCTTACGATATTTACATTGTATATCCTTTGTTATTGTTTTGGTTCACTGAAGGGAGAGGGGAATGTTTGATTGGTGATTCGATTAAGAGATAGAAATGTAAGTCTTAGTTTATGTCTATAGCTTTGCTATGAATCATCTCACTTGAAGTAAATGATACAAAGTTACGAATTTGTTTCATAAAATGTGAAAACCATATATTAAATACTTCATTTGCAAATCTTCCATCAAGTGTCTCAAACTTTATCATTCTTTCATTTCTATTAATCTCTGTTTACATTTCCGTCTTCTTCAATTTCATCATCTCAAACTTCTGTTGCCAGGCCTTCCATGTTAGATTGGTGTTACATACTACTTATGTCCGACGACATAAGTAGCATACACCACACGGTAATAAAATGTGTGCTTGTTTACAATAAAAAAAACACTAAATAAAGTTGATATGTGTTATATCCTAATAACAAATAGACGAATGGTCGAGGCTAAGAATTATTTATGAATATATTCTTATTCTAATAACTATTAAGTAATTAGATTATATCTATTTGTGTTTCTCTTATCGTAAGCTTTCATTTGATCTATTGACTACTATCATACGATTTATCATTCTCAAATTATTTCCAATCTATTAGTTACACTATCTCACAATCACAGACACTTTCAGTCTGATCTTGTATAATGATTATTTTTTTTATTCTATGATGTGATGAGGTCTGATTTGCATGCACATATACTACGTATGTCTGAAATATATGAAGGCGGCCTGCTTGAATATCTGGGCTACCTGTTCCTCCGATCTAGATATTTCATCAAGTTATCTGTTTTATTGTTTGTTTTAGCACATCATTATGTCTATTGTGCACACAATCTATTCAGGCGCGTTTATGAAAAGTTTACAACCTTTCGCTATACGGGATACATAAAGGTACAATCAGCGACATCATGGTGGCCGGCAATATGCATTGAAACGAATGAATATTAATCAAATGTGGATTACCGAACTCCTAACATCTAACTGGTCATCATTCAAAATTTATCGTCACAAAGGAAACTTGTTGAAATACTTTATACTGAGAATTCTATGTTGTACCAAAAATATAATGTTGAATAAAGCTTCTAATAATAATAAAAAAATACAATAGAAGTTGAAATTGTGTTCTGTACTCAACAGGCAATGCAAAGTAATAAGAGTCAATAAGGACTCAGAATTGACTCTAGGTTGTTCATGCTAGTTCACAAATCATTGATTTGGCATAGGGTCAAAATCGTGTAATTCCGTATTGTAATTGACGATCATATCACATGATAAATAACAAATTATATAAGTCATAATCATATCAATTCAAATATTCGGTCAACAGTATATTTAATTATTTTAATTAATTAGTCTATCATTTGTAATAATATTCTTATTCAATAATTTGTTTTTGAATAAGATGGTCTACTAAATAACCCAGACACAAGGCTATTAGAAATTCATTATTGTCAAGATAATGAATTTCTTTTTTTTTTTTAAAAAAATGAGTTATACTATATAAATTTATTATATTAATTCTATTCTTAATCATATTACATAGAAAGAAAAAAAAGAAAGAAAAAAGAAGAAGAAGAAGAAGAAAACGAAAAGAAAAGAAAAACAATTATTTGTTTCCAATCAAATGATCTTAATATTAAAGTTGATCTTGTCTGAGATTATTCTTCACAATTAAATTATAAATATTGATCTATTCAATTCATTAATTAATATAAATAAAAAAAGGTTTACAACAAAGAAATTATTATTATCAAATTGAGAAAAATAGAATGTCATTTAAGAAATTAACAAAATTACAAAAATATCTTATATTTCTTTATGTATTCTGTACAGTATGTGGATTGATAGCATCAACAATATTATTTTTACATTATATCAGAATCAATTCTAATTGTAAGTTGATTTATAAAATGGAACCATAATAATAATAATAATAATAATAAATCAATAAATTATGTCATTATTATTACATTTATACCATGATATTTTACATGATATAACACGTTCTTTGTTTAATTATATACCTAAATTCAAACTATATATAAGAACTTCACTTGATATTGTTTTACTTAAATCTTCCCATTGATGTTTTTGAACTGAAATTGATCAGTCTCTTATTGGCATATGTGCATACTGTGCGTATGCCTTGATATTGCCTTAATTTACAAGCATTATAAGCAAAGATGGATGATGGCTAGCAGTGGAATATAGGACGCGCGTTTCGTCCTGTTTGGGACTCGTCAGCTGGATGTACCTGCATCTCAGAGTTGATGTTCACTCTGGGACTCGAACTCAGTACCGTTCTCTACAAACGCCATCGCGTTATCCATTTAGCTACTGAGTCCTGATAGCCACTTGCTTGTGCAATGGGTTGAAGTTTAATTCACTTGATATTGTTTTACTTAAATCTTCCCATTGATGTTTTTGAACTGAAATTGATCAGTCTCTTATCGGCATATGTGCATACTGTGCGTATGCCTTGATATTGCCTTAATTTACAAGCATTATATAAGAACTTTTGTCTAAATTTGATCGAATAATTTCACAGTATCTGGTTGCTGAGTTGATTTGAGACATTAAAGAGGAAGAATGAATTTGTAAAATTTCAGTGAAAGAATTCAAAATAGATAGATAGATAGATATTGATTGATTAATTAATTTGATTATAAAATGTGTTTACAAACTCAGTATTGTTTTTTTTTCTTCTTTCAATTCATTAGTAACTAAGACATAAATGAGAAATTTGATCAAAACAACTAATTAGATTAATTCATATCATTTTAAAACTTAATTTTGTAGTAAGGTTTTGTTAGAAATTACTATGAATAACCAGATAATTCAATTGTGAGATTATTATCCAACATTCTTTGATTTATGAATAAATAGTACATACACAGTGTTCGTGTTTTTGGATGTCAGATAATGAAATAGTGTCATTATTATTGTACATAAGCTCGCCTAAATAGATTATAGATACAAAATTTGGTTTCCTATTTCAAGACCCTACAATATCTACAAATGGGGGGACGGAAGACATTAAAGATAATTTTTCCTAATGTAAAACATAAAATCTATATACGATTAAATTTAAGCAACCAAGTAAAAGTGGATAATAAATAAACTTTCTAATGACATAAGTTTAAGTGAACGAAATAAACGTAAATATGTTTGTCGAAATTTCATGAGAGAATCAACAAATGGTGTTGTTAGTGACATACAATGTTATGTATGATGTCGTGAAATCGAGTGAAATATATGCATCATCTCATTGTACACAAACTGATTAATAGTTTCTGTTTTGTTGGCATATTTTTACACTGATCTAGCCACGTCACCACTCACAGACAGTTCTCCTACAGTGGATAAATCAAAGATGGATACAAGTAAGTTTATAAAATGAATTTCTCGGTGCCTTTGAATCATTATGCACATGTTGGTTGGCTGAATTGTATATTCTTTTATGACAGATTTGCGTTAAATTCCAAATATACTTCTATAACTTTTTGCTGTGATTTTACTTTTTGTGACCAAAATATCATCATAATTTTGTTACATTTATGCTTTTTTCACAAATTTTACACTATTTATTATATTTCACTTGTTGAAATCATAAGTCAATTGAAGCTAGACCACCATGGAAAACCCCCAAGCACTGGACGGCCGTTTCGTCTCAGCATGGGACTCCTCAGCAGTGCGCATCCACGATCCCGCACATCGAGAGATTCGAACCCAGGACCTATCAGTCTCGCTTCAGGCGCTTAACCAACTAGACCACTGAGCCAGCATTCAACGGTGTTAATGTCTAACTTCAATCAATCCATGGTGGTCTAGCTTCAATTGACTTATGATTTCAACAAATGAAATTTCTAAAAATCTCCACATAACCCATTCGGATAATATTTATTATATGTATTTTATTTATTACGAATGTTTCTTTTTGCATTGGTCAGGTTTCAATAAGTATGGTAGTTTATTATCATTTTTAAAAACATGAACGTTTTATTAGCTCACTTTGTGAAAGTTATTTGACTATAACTTAGATATAACTAAGTGTTTACTTTCTTTCTATTTTATTTCATATGAAGACAATATGTTTATCAATAATAATTGCACAGGTATTATCACAGATAATGAAGTTAACACCAACTGTGATAATTTTGAAGAGTCTGTTTGCCACAAACAAATATCAAATGACTTCCCTAAAGATCATTTATTACAATCAGATGATTTTATAATAGATATTTGTGAGTTTAATTAATAACTTTTCATTAATTACTTCACATTTAAGCATAATTTTGGTCAAGGTTTTTAATGTCTATAAACTTTTAACTTACTTTGATTGTATACAAAATTATTGACTGAAATCATAAGAAAAATAATCAATTTTTTAACACGTACCTAATTATCAGTTTTACAGCGTAAAACAGTGGTTTATTCAGTGCCGATTACATTCATCCTAATTAAGAAAGGCAACGGCCTCATAACTTCCGAAGAATCTCGTCTTTCGCTAGGATCCTTCATAGTTCTTATGAATGAAGATCCTTCAAATCTTAAGATAGAGTCTCAATGGTCCAAATTATTTTTTCTGACTAGCGTTTTTTTTAGCAATGTTGATTACTATGAGCTAGTGTTGCTAACCCCATGACCAACCCTTCTCCTTTTACCCGGTCTTTGGACCAGCAGTAATACTGAAAGAGCTACAAGCGGAGTTTATTTTCATCTAGTAGATAATATATCTAACATTTTGATTCGTTATTCAGTATTAAAACATTGAAAATCAAGTCTGACTAACTTGCTACTGTCAAGTTAGTTATTTAGTGAATCGATTGTATACCTAACAGAACATTAGCTGAACTACTCGTTTAACCGATTTTTATTTATGTCATGCACATTTTCAAAGTCTTTATTGCTTCCTATGACTGAGCATTAATGTTAAGCAATAATATTCAGAGTAAAGCATTTCCTAAGAGTTATATATTTGTGTTGCATCAAGTCAATCTTTTCAAACTTCCACGGAAAAATTATATCCAAACTTGAATACAGATAATTTTAATAATCTACTATCTGTCTTTTAAGACTTGTATTCAATTCAGTAAATAGTCTCAAAACCGTCATTATTTTCTTACTGAATGATCTTTATCAAGCACAAACTACTTTACATGGATAATGTGGTGCAAACCTACTCAAGTACATCATAATTTTAATGTAAAAATTCTAACTAACAGTTATTTTACATAGACTTTATCCATGTATGTCGAAGTAGAGCGTTATATTTGTATTTTAATATATGAAATAGGCGAGACTATGATTCATGGACAAACCAATCACATATAAGGTAACACGTTTTGGAATTTGACACGAATTTCATTCACTCGTTTTGTTAGATATCATCTTGGCATTATAACTGATGTCATTTCGTGATGGAAACATTAAATCTTATTCTCAACCATAATGTTCAACTGTAAATTCTAATCCTCATTCCTCACACTAATCTATGATCCTCATTTAACCGTAGTAAGTAAGTGGTCATTCCAAGGTCATTTTAGCGTTGCTCAAACGACGTCCATATATTATAGTCTCACCACAAAGTAAAATCACACTAGTAGTTAAATCAAAATTTTCTAAGTTTATCAAACAATCTAATTATCGTCAAACGTTTGTGTAATTCTGTCAGGCAACGTCACGAATTACTCGAAGTTAGACAATAACACCGATGGATGCCGGCTCAGTGACCAGAAGATTAGGCATTCGTGATTTCAATCAAACTTATTCTATTATAAACGTGCAATAAATAAATAATGATTTTGAAATGTTTCAAAATAGTGCACTAATTTATTAATTTATTTCGTTTTAAGTGAGGAATACAATGAATGTAAATGAATCACATCTTACGGCTGCTATTAATTACTACCGATCTTGTATCACAAACTCTAAGGAGGAAACATCGTCAAGAAAAGAGAAAATTGTTCAATTAATCTCATCTTTTTTCAACGGATGGTCATCGCCACTCTATTCTGATAAGATCTCCTTCAATATTAGCAACAATATATCTGATAATAAATTGTTCAATCTTACTAATTTAATTTTACCACTGATATTTCAAAATGGAAAAACAACTATATTTTCTCTAAATGTAGTTCAAAGTAGAAACAAAAGTATAAATCCATATATTTATGTGAGTTATTGGATAAAACAACTTTTGTTTATTTACACATAATTCTAAATTATAAACGTTTAGTTTTCATCATTTCCATCTAGCTTACGAACCAGTGAATTATCAGGACTCTAAACCTAGAATCATTTCATAGTACAATAAAGTGATGTTTATAATAATCTTTTTTATTAGACTTAAATCAAGTTCGAAATACCTTCATACAATTAATTTTAAATTAAACTGTTATTAATTAGGCACTATGTCAGCACGACATTATTCTCTCGTTAACGTATACTCTAACATGTTCACAAAATTCGCATAAATATTAGGGTAACTGAATGTATGTATGATTCTTTGAACGTATTCAGATCATAGTTACATCAGTAGTAAGTGAAAGCCTCATATTACGTAATACGCCATACATTTTATGTATTGGGGCATTTTTGAGCTTAAATTCATAAATAATTTTGTCACTTATAAATAACAGATTCAGTTATAGTTTATTTACTATCTGTATCACTTCATTCCATTTAGGTTGTCAATCTAAGCTAAAAAAAAAAGTGTGCACACTCCAAATGTGAAAACGAACTTCACTGTTTCCTGTACCAATAATTTTGTCCTAGAACTATTTATTTTCTATAATCCATTTAACCAAAGCATGAAATCCATGTACTGGTAGTCAAAAACTAAGTGTTCCTATCTGGAAAAATAACATTTAGCATCCTACAAATCAACCTTCTTAATTCAACAAAATACTTCGTAAACAATAATCAAAACTCTCAATAGACAGCCAATGTTAACGTAAACGCTTTCCGAAAGAATAAATACCGATTAGTAACTCTAACATACAAATGTACAATATTTCATTTGAATTCTATTAAACAATACAAATAACTTTATCTTCATTTCAGATTTCTTCAGGTCCACTTAATGTATTTACCAGTAGTGTTTCAAACACAGTAAGATAAAGGAATAAGAATCTATTTAATTATATTTTAATTGATAATAGAATTTCAATGACAGTTTATTTCTGATTTATTGTAATCTGTAACACGAAACATCATGTTAAGTTAATTTTATTGATCGAATGTATCAATAAAGTTGTGAATAATGGTGGATCCAGTGTTTAAAACAAATTAGACTTACTTTTTCTATCTCAATCATATCGAACAGTATTCTCGATGAGACTATAATTTATGGACAACGTTTGAGCAACGCTAAAATGACCTTGGAATGACCACTTACTTACTACGGTTAAATGAGGATCATAGATTAGTGTGAGGAATGAGGATTAGAATTTACAGTTGAACATTATGGTTGAGAATAAGATTTAATGTTTCCATCACGAAATGACATCAGTTATAATGCCAAGATGATATCTAACAAAACGAGTGAATGAAATTCGTGTCAATTTCCAAAACGTGTTACCTTATATGTGATTGGTTTGTCCATGAATCATAGTCTCGCCGTATTCTCAAGCACAATAGAAATAAGAAATACCACATCAGCTTACAAATATCACTGATTTCTTACTTGTTTTCTTGTATCTTAATCTAAACAATGTGAAATTTTTGACAAAATATAAGTAAAGGCAAATGTCATAATAACAAAATGACAAATTCAGAAGAAAATTCGTCTGCGTAGATAATGTGATGATGGATTACTTTTTATTAATTGTTGCAAATTAACCAAAACATTATAAGCAGTTAGTATCATTGCCAATTTGGTAGATCTTTGCCACCATCAACTCGGATACAGTACGTAATCAACCACTCATAGCACACTTCATCTTGTGTTTATTACAAACGACTTAAATAAAAGAACATACACACTTGACTGTTGATTAGAAATTCTTCGGAATTCTCAATCATCACATTAACATTAAAATCTTCTATACAGGAATCCTACAAGGCTCATTAAGTCAGTTAAAATCATTTATTACATTGACTAATCGTGGTTCATTTACTTCCACACTGTTCCAGTGAATAAGGTACATGTTTATTGACTAAAAGAGTCTACATTGACAACGTTAATTAGGGTAAAACTTCAAAAAAAACTGCATGTAATTGAAAATTTATTTATTTACATCAATAACCTGTAATATATTTCATGTGTAATACCTTAATCACTAATAATAACACATGTGTTGGGACAACAATGTATTTCAGTAACCATCTATATATACACATATATAGATTGTTGAAGACTAGAAAACGTGTCATATTATATTCTATAAAAGTGCATCGTTTAAATACATATTAAAGTAAATAAAAATGTAGTCTATCTTCCCTCAAGGTTGAAAAATTGCATAAAGGTGTGATCGATATTCTATCCCAAGAATTGCGCAACCATGAGCCCACATGTGAGAATCGAACCTGGGACCTTCGCGAACAATCATCATGTGCTCCCTAGTGACTAACTTCAAGATGGATTTCCTGAAGTCCCAGTAAGAAGCCGTGACCAATGGAGTCCAATTCATGTAGGGTAGAGACAGACATCCACCTCAGACAATAGATGAAGGGTTAAGCAAGATCATGAATAGATTGAAGTTAGACATTAATACTGTTGGATGCCGGTCGGCTCAGTGGTCTAGAGGTTAAACGTCCACGTGTGAGACCGAAGGTCTTGAGTCCGGATTCTGTTGGTGCAGGATCGTGGATGCATACGGTTGAGGAGTCTCATATTAAAACGAAATGGCAGTCCAGTACTTTCGGGTTTTCAACGGTGTTCTAGCGCAAATCGACTCATGAATTCGAATAAAAAAATTACTGCAATCTCCACAAACTCCCATTCTGATAACAATTATATCCCAAGGTTAGACATGTTAGTTTCAAATAAACTGAATATCGGATAAGAAGTCAATAATAAAACTTTTTTTCTTATATCCCAATGAATAATATTTTGATTGAGATCATGAACCGATTGATGCTGAGGAGTCCCACAATAGGACGAAACGGCCGTCCAGTGCTTCCAGGTTTTCAATTGTGATGGTCTAACATCAATCGGTTCATGATCTCAATCAAAAACTTAATAATCTCCACAACCCGTATACTAGGAATAATATTTTGTTTATCACTATCATACTTATCCTCATTTCTGATTCATATGTACTTGTGATATGATAAAATCGAGAACTTGTGTACTTAACCTTTTCCATAACTAATAACTAGTTGGTTAACAATGGAGAAGGAACAGAAGAACAAATTTTCAAGTTACTAGAGAATTTTGAAGTGGTGGAAAATAAGGAAGAATTGGCAAAAGGTGTTTTCAATTTGTATTCAGACATTAAAAATGTAAGTAAAATTATCACAACCACTTTGCAATTATTTAAAACTTTATTGTGATGCACATTTTAACATATCCCAATACTTTGGTTAATAAGATACTTAAATTCCAGGTATTGAGAAACGCTTATGGAAAACTGTACCATATAATGAAATTTCAACTGTCGAATAGTTTAAGCAATTGTTACTGAGATGCATTTCTTACTTACCTACTTGTTTACTTACTTACTTACTTAATTACTTACTTACTTACGCCTCTTACTCCTCATGGAGGAGCATAGGCCACCAACCAGCATTGTACATCAAACTCTGTCCTAGTTAATACTCCCCAGTTGATTCCACTTGCTATTCATTCTCTTGATGTCTGCCTCCAATTCTCGACGCAGTGTGTTCTTTGGTCTTCCTCTTTACTATATCCCTTCAGGATTTCGAGTGAGCGCTTGCTGCCTAATGTAGTTTGCTGATTTTCGCAATCTATGCGTTATCCACCTCTAGTGTCTTTTTCCAATCTCCTCTTCAAATGGAAGCTGATTTGTTCTCTCATAGTAGGCTGTTGATGATGATATCCGACTAACAGACATTGAATATCTTGAGTGGGTAATTGTTTATAAATACTTCTACCATTTTGATAATGGTTGTAGTAGTTATTCCAATTTCAACTCCGTACAGCAGAACTGTCTTGACAATCGTACTGAAGATTCTGACTTTGGAGTTGGCTGACAGTTGTTTTGATTTCCATATGTTATTCAGTTGTGAGAATGCCGCCTTTGTTCTGCCAATCCGCACCTTTACATATACATCATCTTCCTCCATGTTTGTCGGTGATCCTGCCCATATAAGTTAATGCCTATTGATCTCAAAATTGGGCCTCTACTGGATCTTCCATCTGGTTCAGCAACACTGTTAAAAACGTTTCCTGGCACTGACAGCAGTGTAATGTCTCAGTAGTCCCAACACTTGTTCAGATCTCCTTTTATTCATATCATGCTGTGTCCTTCTCTCCAATCTTCATGAATAGACAGTGGAACATCTCTGAAATTACCTCTCTGTCTGACTTCAGTGCTTCAGCTGCTATGCTATCAGATTCCACTGCTTTCCCACTCTTGACTTGGTTTATGACTATTCTGATCTCTTTGGTCGTTAGTGGAGTGAAATCTATAGGAATGTCCGCGAGTATTGCATCGATGTCTTATGGGTTCGATTATGTTTGCCTATTCAACAGTCCTTCTAAGTGCTCAACCTACCTGTTTCTCTGTTTTTGAATCTCAATGACTGGCTTGCCTACTTTGTTCTTGACTGGTTGCTCTGGTTTGCAATATTTCCTTCTCTTGAAACCTCATTCGCTGTTATTTCCAGATCTTTTACATATTGCGGCATGTCCGATCTAATGCTCTTCATCGAACTCCCGTTTGATTCTGTATATTTTGTTTGTGCCTTGATTTACTCTGTTCTTGTTCAGCTATTGACCTTCCTGTCTTGAACCCTGTTCAAAGTCTTGGTAGAGATCCATTCCTTATGACGATGTTTTTTACGGTTATCGACAAGTTAAAGTTAGTGCTCCTTTGATCCATTTCCAGTTGTTCTCCATAGTAATTTCCTCTTCTTTGAGTAGATCTTGTAGGGCTTGGAACCTGTCACTGAGAGCTATCTTGAATTCCTTAAGTTCATCAGGGTCTCGAAGAAAGGCTGTATTGAACCTTTTTAATGCTATTCCCATAGCTGTCCAGTGCTTTTTAGTTCCAATTTCATCTTGGCCACTACCAGGTGGTGATATGAAGCTAAGTTAGCTCCTCTTCTGGTTCTCATGTCTTTTATTGTCCTACTGAATTTTTCAGTTATTCGAATATGATCAATCTGTTTCTTCGTCAACTGATACCCATGTAGCTTTGTGTATGTGTCTCTGGGGGAATATAATGCCATCCATAAGCATCTTGTATTCACATAAATTTGCGAATCTATTACTATTTTCGTTTGTTTCTCCCAGTCTATGTCGTTCCATGATATTTTCATACCCGGTGTTGTTTATTCCGACTTTGGCGTTTGGGTCATTTATCAGAATGGTCAAGTCGTTTCCTAGGCACTTCTCTACGATCAACTTCAGCCTCTGATAGAATTGATTTTTATCGCCGTCGTTGCTATCATTGATGGGTGCATAACATCGGATAACATTCACTGTAATTCCCTCTTTCTTTGTTTCGGAGAATGCTTTGATGATTATAGATCCATAAGATTCTTATCCTATAAGTGCTTTCGTGCCTCTTTGGAAAGAACCAGAGCAACTCCCTCTGTGTGCGGAGCATTTCCTTCTTTGTGACCAGAGTACAGTAGCATCTCTCCTGAATCTATCTTTTTCTGTCCAGCTTGGGTCCAGTAGATTTACTTATTGCAAGTTAAGTTTGAAGCGTATTAGTTAATTTTAAAATATATAAGCACTTTCGGAGAAAAAACTTATGTGATTATACTTATTTTTTTAACGTATAGATATCGAGTTGACTGATTGAATTATCTTTCAAGATTTTTACTTAAAAACCAAACCTGTTTTCTGAAATTAAGTTGATATTTATAAGCAAACTTGGTCTTTTGAGCGTTACAATAGTAGCATTATTTACTTTAAAAGGTAATGTCTGAATGATAACAGTGACAAAATAATAATAATGGGGATGTAACGATTTATCTCCTTTTCCTGACAGACGCTGACCTACTGAATATGATTTCACCAATAAAATTAAACATATTACGCCATATTATTAAAGGTTTCACAATTTCATGATTACTAATGACAATATACCGTAGTTTGGCTACAAAACTTAAAAATCTATCATCAAACTGATGAGTATCTCTGAATAATTGAAGTTGAATTAAAATAGCTTAATATAAACGATCATCGAATTAAACTGATTATACATAATTTACATGTTAAACGGAATGCATTAAGCCGTATTACCTGGTTAGTCAAATGTATACACTTTCTTGCTGATGATAGAGCATGTTGTTTGTCGTTTGAAAAAATAACTGAAAATAAACTGATATCGTTTTATCCCTAATGATGTCTAAATTTAGATATATCTGTGTAAATAATCAGTAGTTGTAATATGACAAAATATTAGGTTGCTAGCAAATTCACTATATGATATGACAGGATGAAAAGGCAAATATATTTTTAACCCACTATGTTTAGTATGATGTGGAGCATGCGATCTTGTTATCTTCTCATAAATGTGACTTCTTTCTAAATAGTAATCAAAATTGCTGTTCAATCACTATATAAATCAGTTGGCTTTTGACTATGATTGTCATGTTTTTGGGGTGAATAGATCTTCACTCTCACCAGTCTTCCATGTTTTTACTTCGTGTCGTGGGTATTGTAGTGTTTACTCGCTTTTACCTACAAGTAATAGGCAATGCGAATATTAAACTAATTCTCACTAAAATCATAAAAAGCAAATTAATAAATTAGATACAGAAAATTTAATTGACTATAGATTACTGATTGGGGGGACCGGTTTAAACTAAGTACAAATCAATATTTATTCCAATTTAGTTTCGAAATTCTCAGCTATACTCCTTCACTATCGTGGATTTGCCTTTATTATTATACATCAAATAATTTACTGTGGTTATCATGTGATATTGTCTTTGTTGCAGGCAATCCCATTGCAGAATGTCGATAAAGAAGTCCCATTTGAAAATCTGAGCCAAATCTGTTCCGTTGTAGGTTGAGAATTAAATCGCTTTTAAAGTAGTATGTTCATGCAAAGAACTTTTCTGATGTAAGCCTGGTTATCCAATTATGTGGACACTTACTGTAGAAATATTACTGATACATTAATCATTAGATAGTTGATCTTCTTATATTCCCTATCTTATAAACCTACTACTGTGGTGCGTGCTACTTATATTGATATAAGTAGTATATGACGCGAGTCAGTAATGTAATGTCTGGCAGCAGAAGATGGAGGAAGATCAAGAAAGGAAGAGCGGGAATAGAAAGCAATCAGTATGGAAATGCAAGAACAATGAGGTTCAAGACAATTGTTGAACATTTTGCAAATTAAGTATTATAGTATGGATTTTCTATTTTACCAAGTAACTCTGTAATTTTGTGCTTAATACATTCGATCGTCCACACCCGTGTTCTGTTCAATAAACGGTTACTCATTTCTGTTATCCTTCGTGGGGTAGTATAGGCCGCCCACTAGCACTCTCCATTTTATAAAGCTAATGAGGAGATTCATCCGTTCACAAACTTACTGTTAAAGTTAATTGAAGTCAGTTTTACTATGACCTTTACTGTTACCGAGCTACAATCATTATTATTACCTATCATATCATTATTTCAATTTTCCTAGTATAACAATTTTACATAATTCTTATCGGTTATCATAACATGTGAAATTGTATGTATAGTGTGATGTAATACGTTTAGTTATAAATTATGGAACATGAGATCTCTGTTACAGAAGTTTACACTCCAATAATAAAGAATAATTTCATTATTACTGAATTCTAACTCAATGTTTCCTACCATAACAAGAAAGTTCTTTAAAGCTTTATCCAACTATTTCGTAATCAAATCATGTTTTATTAAGAATAAACTACTTATAACAGTGTCAAATATAGGTGATCGAAATATCTCTACTTTTAAAAGACATAAAATCTTCATCCTAGACATTATTCAGATCTGAAACAGTTTGAGAGTTGAGTTAATCCAAAAGAAATATTCAAACCATATACTTCATACTTAAAAAAGATCAGAATAAATGTATACTCAGTATCCAGAAAGAAATACTTTATGACTAAGAAAGGCAAACGCAATTTATTGTTCTCATCACGTTTTTCTGTTACAGTTAGAAATCATGAAACTAACACTTGAACTTTTTCAATCATATATTTCTCTATAATACACCATTACAAGTTAAATAAGAAGCACAATAATAATTGTTTATCAATCACAACTACCAAGCTAATGAATGATTAGTTTATTGTAAAAAAAAAAATAACTCGCCAGTTTGACTGAAGTCAACACCTTTCAAAATTACTATGATTAAAAACCATAAGGCTCAAACTCCAAACAGAATGATCTTTTAGTGAAAATGCTGTCAACAAGAATAGTACAGTATTATTTAAGTTTATTGTAGATAATAAAATACATGATAATCACTGGTCAGAATTAGCTGAGTGACACTGATCTTGTGTTGAAAATCCATTTTGTAACATAACCCATTTGTTGTCTTTGTAAATATAATTCAAATTATTATTTATTTTGATCAGATCGATTGGAATTTTTTATTTGAAAGTGTATTCCATGAAATCAAGTATGAATCATACAAGAATATGAAAATTATCGTCTATCATCCAGACTCCTTGAAGAATGTTTGTGATAAACACAGGTTGGCTATGAATACAACAAGCAGTAAAAGGTATTTTTTCTCAAAACTGAATGTTATGCTTCCAGTAATGAGTTGTTGCTATAAAAACTTGTCAAATCGCGTCTTTATTTTGAGTAACGAACATTATATTCAAAAGCATTTGTCATGAATGTAAAACAACTGAGTTCTACACATTTATTTCTATTTGGACTAACAACGATAGTGTGGTGGTTGTATATACTGAACTGTAGACTGATTATTTCGAAAGTATAAAATCGCGATGCTGATTTGTCACAAAAGCACAACAAAATAATTGTACAATCCTAATCAATCGCGGTTACTTTTTCAAATGGTATTCCTTATTACTGAAAACTATATTCAAGCAACACAGAAATTGGCTAGTTAGCTTTTTAAATTTAGATAAACTTAGGAATCAGTCCATGTTGAAACTAGTGAATTTCTTCATTTTCTTAATCAGCCGGCAGTATATATATATATATATATATATATATATATATATATATATATATATATATATATATAATGTGTATTTGTTATGGACTTTTGTGTACAAATAAGAAGAATCAGGTTTTATTAGAGCAAATGTCATGATTAGCTAGACAAGGTTTTCATTCCACTTCAATTATTATGAATTGAAAATATATTTAACAGTTCAATTCATGAGTCGATTTAAGCTAGACCACCATGGGAAACCTGGAAGATCTGGACATCCGTTTCGTTCTGCATTAAAGGGACTCGAACCCAAGACCTTTGGTGTCGCGCGCGAACGCTTAACCCCTAGACTACTGAGCCAGCCGGCATCCAACTGTGTTAATCTCCAACTTCAACCAACGCAAGATATAGCGCGATCGTCCATAATTTTCTTCAATGAGTAACTGCCTCACAACAGACACAGTTGAACTTCACTGGTCACGACTTCTCACTAAGACTCCAGGAAATTTATCTTGAAGAAGTCCCATGCTAGGACAAAACGGCCGCCCAGTGTTCCAAAGTTTTCCATGGTGGTCTAGCTTAAATCGACTTATGAATTCAAATATTAAATCAATACAATCTTCACAAACTCCCATCCTGAAAATATATTACTATCTAAGTGAAAAGTTTGCTCACTATTCAAAACATTCTTTAAACACTTGTCAGGATGAAAAGAATTGTGTCAAGAGAATGAGTAATTAGTAGACGAACTATTTGAAATTTCCTTGATCAATAGTTGTATACAAATTAACAGAAATGGTAAAACAAAGTTAAATAACTCATTTCTTAGCAAATCATGTCCCAGATACTCAGCAATGGCAGTGTTTAGTAAACAATTGTAAATAAATAAAAACTAAACATTAAATCAATAAGAAAGTATCCAAGACTAAAAGTTAGATTACTAATAGAATAAACAGATTCAATTAACTGAATACAGTTCATGGAGAACGAAACACATGAATAACAGTTATTCTGTCTATTCTACCCGATCCCCAAGTAATCAATATAAATATATACACTTTTCAATTTATTGTACGTTTACGAACTTGTACTGTAGTGAGTGAGAAAATAGGCAGGGACAATCAAATATATTTTAATACAACATTACAGAATATTTTGGTAAAATGTATGAACCATACAATAAATAATTCATTTGCAAAATGTCAATCAATTGTCTCAGAAATGATTATTCCTTTTGTAAATGTCAATCAATCGCCTCAGACTTCACTGTTCCTTCATTTCTATATCAATCACTCTTTGTTTTCGTTCTTTTCTCTTCAATCTTCTTAACCTTCTACCGCCAAACATTTCACTTTCAATTGGTGATACATATTACTTATTACACACTACAGTACTATTCTAAATTTAAAATAAAATTCATATATGATCATGATTTTATTTAGATTATTTAACAATCAAATATCCGTTTATTGTTTGATTATATTTTTTTTCTAGAATTCTACATACTATGATAGTGATAAATTTCTTATACAACATGAGAAGTACCTTAAATCAATATTTCAAAGAGTTTTATTTCTTTGATAACCGTAAGTAACACTGTCATCTACAGCAATATCATTGATTTTTGATTTTGTCCAAATTGACTGGAATATCTTCAATGCAAGTTTTAAAACAAAACAAAAATCTACGGCGAATATAAACATTAAAATATATTTGGTTAAACTGTAGATTTAAAAAAAATAATAGAGAGAACTGATCAATAGACAAAAGAAATATTACTAATTCATGCTAAAGGCACGGTTAATCAATCCTCACCATGTTGACTAACGTACATAAATTTAAATAATACTGAGATAAGAATCATTGTGTAGGATTACCGCCAAAAAAGTTCCCTTAGTTTTTTTTTCTTTTTGATTAAGGGCAGCATAATAATTATGTTACTCTCCAAATTTTTTTCATTTATTTACATAACAAAATATTGATGGATATCAGCAAAATTATTAGAAAAGACGCCAACAAGTTGTATTGATGAAGTGAAAGAAAATTTCCCATGGACAATAGAACGACATCACGAATATTCTACTATAAGTGAAAGTAAAAAAAACGAGGCAAGTTTAAAACTAAGTAAAATATTATTCATTTTTATGGTCACAATAAAACATTACGTTAAGTAGTACAATCTTAAAATCTTACATATAATCGTAATCAGCTTGTAACTAAAATTTGATTTGATTGATAAATATTATGAGACTAAGTTACTTTTGTTTCTATTACTGATTGTAAATTCAACCAACTCATTGATTCATCCCACTATATAATGCTATGTTTGAAGAGATAATGAGATCACCTAAAACCGACGAAAGGAACGAAGGATCAACGACACAACGACAAGACAAGCCAAACCATTCAGATACATCCAAGCCCTGCTAACTAAAGCTAGAAGACTCGGTTCAGATGAAGGGAAGGTATATTCCACAAGTACCCAGAAGCACGAACAACAATAAGCACTCAACTCACGCGTATGTATATAGCATAAAAATGTCCTTGGGAAACGTCACAAAAAAGCTTATTAAAAGAGGGAACGAACCAATGACATTTAGAGTCCCCTTAAGTGGGAAATACAATCTGAAGGTGGAAATAGGCACTTTGGCGCGAAAACGAGAAATTCAAATTTCCCAAATAAAATCACAAAAATATGACGCTTATCAAGTGATTGCTGGGGATATATATATATAACATCTGAACAATTATCCATAATTTCCATCGTTTATGTAGTTATTTTGTTTATAATCAGTGTATTTGTTTACAATGTATAGGTACTTGAAATATTTGATGAATTAAAGATCACTTTGATTCAATTATTATCATCGAGTTCATGGTTCAATGAAAACAAAAAAGGCACTGTTGATCAGGTTTGTTCAATTGCAATCGATTGCATAATTAATAATCCATTATATTGTTCAGGTTAAAAATATTAATTTATCGATAATTTCATCGGAATCATTGAATGTGAAAGAGAGAGAGAGCGAAGATTTTATATTCAATGTGAGTTTTAAAACCAATGTATTCCCATTGATTATTATTATTATTCTCTAATTAAAGGTGAACAAGATTCCGTGTCTAAATTATTTACCAAAAGTGTGTAAAGAGACTTTTTGTGTACATCCAATTATTTCATGATTTTATTTATGTTACTGAGATGCTAAGGAAGATTTGTAGCTCAGAGGGATATTTTTTGTGGAGTTTTGTTTTCTGAGCTGGATAGTTTAGTCGTGGAGCTTTCATTGTTCCTCTGAACAACCTCATCAGCATAAACTTCAGGTAGAAGTGAAGTGTTTGAATTTCTCCATATATGACCCATAGCTTGTCCTGTCAACCTCGATCATGATTGCTTATTGTTGACTTTTAACCTGTCTTTGTCTACTTCTTTATTTTGATTTTATCTCCCATTGAGTTGATTCTCAGTCCTATATTTGTCCATGATCTTTCTGAATGAATGATAGACTGGATCGATTTCAATGTATTTGTTGATTGCTGATTGACCAGAGTCCCAAGCTTCTAAAAATTCTCTTGTGCTTTTGGTATTCCCTCTATCCAAGATCTCAATATTTTTCCAGTCTGATGTGTGTCTGCAGTTTTCTACATACATTGATATAAGCGAAAATATATCGTGGTGTTTCGCCGCTGATCGGTGTTCGTGCAGGCGAAGATGAAGAGAGCATCCACGTTTCTGGATATAGTGTTTTCTCAGTTAGAACAATTTAATTTGTAGATGACTTTCGTCTCTTCTTCTTTTGTCATTTTGTCCTTTGGTTTGCATAAGATTGATTGAAGTGACTTCACTGGTTTGCGTGCTACACCTGTTCCAAACGGCTATAATAATGTCTTCGTAATTTTTTATATATGGTAGAAGGATCCGTTTGTTGGTTTCTGTACTTGATTTCGCTTCTGCTGATGCGTTCAGTTAATATTCTTTGATGCGATTGGTTTGGTAGTTGTTCATTTGAAAGATGGTCTTTAGATATTTTTCTTCATTTTTCCACTCTGCAAGTGTGTTGCAGTATGTTCTCTCCCTCTTAAATAAAGTCTGTACGCAATTTATTTGTGAGTTCTTGAAATGTTGCTGCTCTGATTAAGGATTCGATCTGTGTAGATCAGCTTCCGATATACTTGAGTCTCCAGTTTTACTGCGTCGGTCCTAGTGATCAGTACACCCAAGAATGGAAGTTTGTTTTTTGACTTCTGTTTGATTGTGAACTTTATGTAATCAAAGACGTTGTTGATAAGATTGTTGGTGTTTTCCAGCTCGTCCTTTTTTTAAAGATGACGAATGGGTCGTCTATATAACAAATCCCCATTTTCGGCTTGACGACTGGTAAGATTGAGGCTTCCAATCGCTGCATCACAGCTTCCACAATAATTCCTGACATGGGTGATCCCATTGATGTTCCTTTTATTTGTCATCAGGTTTTATTGTTAATTTGAAAGTATGTTGTTGAGCATAAGTCGATGAGTCCTAGCAAACCTTGATTGAAGATCCGTGTGCTTTTTGGGGTTTGTTTAATCGCCGAGGAGCGAGGATAGAATTTTCTTTCCTAAGCTTTATTCGATTGAGGTGGTTAATGCTGTTACGTTGAAGGATATCATCAATTCGTTGCAATTGATTTGAATCTCTTTAACCTCATTCAAGAATTGCATGGAAGATTTGATGAAGCGATTAAATGAGTCTACTAAATATTCTTGAAATTTCTCCTGAAAAATTAGATGTTATGGTTCCGCGGATTATTACAATCGGGCGTAGCGAAATATTTGTATTGTGTACTTTTCGCCGATCGTAGAACTGAAGTATCACTGACCCATTTCAGACTCCTTCGATCTCATCAACCCAATAACAAACGTCTGTGCATCAAGGAAGAAAATGATATCGTTAGATGTCACTTCTCTATTCACAAATATCCAGCTTACAGAAACGATTTTCTTCTTATACGATAATATTTTTCATTTTTAATTAAGCTGGTTTGTTTGCAGTAACTCAACTAACAGTAAATCTTAATGGTTGAATTTATGAGTCTATCCAATCTAGACCACCATTGAAAACCTGGAAGCATTAGACAGTCGTTTCGTCCTAGTATTGGACTCCTCAACAGAGCGCATCCATGATCACTCATGCGGTAATCGAACCCAAGACAATTGGTCTGGCGCGCGCGAACGCTTAAACTCTAGTAAATTATTATTAATTTAGTGAAATTCAGCATAAAGTTCAGTGGCGTTTCCAATCCCATATGAAAACAACTTAACTAGTGGATAGCGATTCAGTAGTTAGCTTTAACGACGTTTGATTTAATGAAATAAACCAATCAGATTAGATGCCTGAAAAATATTATTCTTTGTTGTCTATACAAAATTAATGTACCTCAAATAAAATAAGAGTTATCGGTAAATAAATGCAACTAAAATTTGAAAAAAAATAGTAAGGAGAAGAATATCATAGTCTTTACAAATCGATTGACAGACGACTTATGGTGAAAACGTTAAAGGATGTGATCTAAACACTTATCAAAACCTTAACTTGTATAAATCCCTTAATGAAAAATATTGTCCTAAATTTAAAGTAGATCCTTGAAATGAAAACTGTTTCACAAGTGAAACTTTTAGCCTTCTTATAGATCAATCACTAGAGATTTAATGTTTTATACGGTTTACGTTACTCCACTTGTGTCGCTTTCATACTACTTTATTAGTCAATTTCGTGAATTGCATTTGGATTTTAAGTATTTAATGGAAAATAAATGAAGGATTTAGGGGAAATTTCATTTGATCTTACCACTGTTTAAGAGTGGAAACCTATTTCTCTGCGTAAGTAATATTTCAATCGATTTCAGTGTATCCTACTTGTTCTGAACAGTTGTCAGAACCTTAGGAAGATCAAGTTATACAGTAACAAAACAAACTAACTTAAATTCAAATACTCTTCGTAGTACACTTACGATCTCTGATCTTTACGCAGAACGACCTCTAGATGACTGACAAGTTTATGATTTGCACCATTTTGTGTCATTCCTCCACACTATCTCGTTAGTTGATCCTGACAATATAACGTCAGCTTGAATTTTCGCTGCATAAAATCTCGGAAATCTACCCTTATCATTGCTACTGGCATAAACTAGTCGAATAGATTTCCTATCTACTTTTAACTCCTAAAAATCATTGCCAAGCGCTTGACATACTTCGTTCATTAATCACCTCAGACATAATTTTAAGGTGATTGTTTATCTAGTGCAGTGCCACAGCGTGTTATAATAAACAAAACCCGTTTACACTTTAAGCAAGAATATCTTCTTGATATGCATTGTTTGTTATGAACTGTAGTTCAGATATCAGTATTCCGTAATTACGACTACTAAAAAGGCATTTCAGTAGTTGTCATTTGTCTGTTAATTGACTTCGGCATCTGTAGGAATGGAGTTCGTAGTTTCAAACAATTCGACGGAAAAGTTTTTTATGTTTCCATTTGATTATTCAACTTGCAAACATATAAATGTTTTTAAAAATTCCTGTTTCTGTTCTAGAATAAAATTCTAGAAAATAATTACTTTATGAATGAATATTATTCTCGGAAGACTAAACTCCTCAAATCATATGGCGCAACTTTGGGTAAATACCATAAGTACGTTGTACTTTTTAAATATTCATCTTTTATATTTCTGAGTACATAAATAAAATCCAATATATCTTTATAGAACTAATTTTATTTAATATATCGCGATTTGAAACCAATTGTATTCTAAGCAAAAATTAAATAGTTGAATTCGTGGACCAATTAAATCTAGACCACCATGGAAAACGTGGAAGCACTAGACGACCGTTTTATCCTAGTATGAGACTCCTCAGCAGTGCGCATCCGCAATCCCGTACCAAACGGACTCGAACTCAAGACCCCCCGTATCGCGCGTGAACGCTTTACCTCTAGACCACCGAGCCGACCGGCATTCAACAGTGTTAATGTTTAACTTCAACCAACCCACGAAACTGCGCCACCGTCCACCATTGTCTTCAGTGAGTTACTATCTCACAACAGACCGATAGGTCCTCATTGTATGTAAACTGTAATTAGATTTATTGATGTACGCTTAAAAGGTTAAAAAGACACATAAGCAAAGCAGAAACGCTTGTCTATATTTGTTGAACTTAACTTATTGCTGGAAATCTACATGAAGTTGACTCTATCCACCCTTCCCTGTAATAAAATTGTATTCATAAAACAGTGTAGTTTAAAAAGGTGAATTTTGGCCTAGATTGTTAGAAATAGAAAAAAATAATCTGACATCAGTGTTTACTGATGACAGTGATTAAACTCTCCATAGTTTGGATACCCTATTTTAATTGCCTTTATTTTTGTTTTGTTAAGACTGATTACAATTTTAATGAATTCATATTCCCTACAAATCGTAGTGTTCATTGTTCGAATCGTTATTCTGTCTTATATTTGTAAATGATCATTGGATTATAATTGGTAATGTAACCTTATTTCTTTTTATAATGGATTGAAATAAAAATGTAGGAAGTATTTCGAATAAATTTCAGTAGTATAGTTTTCTTCACAGAATTTAATAAATCAATGACGTTTATAGAATATAATGATTTTATCACGTCTTTTTTTAATTTTACCCCAAATACAAAAATGCTAAATGTTTATTGACTTTAAATTTTCACTAAACAAATTTATATATCAGTATAGGGTTGTGTAGATTATTAATTTATTGATTGAGATCTTGAACAGGATGATGTTAGACCACCGTTGAAAACCTGGAAGCACTGGACGGCCGTTTCGCCCTAGCACGGGACTCCTCAGCAGTGCGTATCCACGACCCCGCTCGCGGGATTCGAACCCAGGGCCTTCAGTCTCGTAGACCATTGGTCTAGTAGGTTAAGTGTTCGCGCGCACTCAGTGAAATGACCTCTAAGTATCACAGTAGGTCAGTATTGTAGTGTTTATCAACTGATTTGAACTACTTCATTCTATACATCTGATATTTTTGTTCAGAATATGATACACATTTAGATTATGTATACTGTTTTTAAATCTGAGATCTAAATCAATTGAAATATGTTCAATAGTGTATGTTTGATGTCTTTCCAAAGTATAGTTTTTCAAGAATGCAACCGACCTCGAATATTTGTATAGAAAGTAGATGACTCACAGAGCTTTTCGTTTAATTCTTCAAAAATTACTTAACATCAAACCAAAATATATCGCAATATTAACAACTTTTAATTAATGGGTTGATCAATTGATCAATTAAATTTGATCAGCAATAAGGGTGAATACCAATAATACTGATTATTATCCGAAGATCAGTTAGTGGTGATCATTTGCTCTTATTTTGTCGCTTTCAATCAATCTTGAAGCATCATGTCATTTTGAAAACTGTCTTCTAGTTTCATTTCTGGCTTATGCAGTTCAAGTCTCAACTATATAGGGCTCTTAAGTAAACCTCTCCAACGGAATGAAATATAAGACAAATATAAGATTATCAATGAATAGTAAACCAAATTAATTTAGCGGTACACTTTCCTTTTATTCATTACCTAAGATTTAACCAATTATACGTCTTACGGAATAGATTAATGGTATATTTTTTATTTACAAATATATAGACCAGAAGTCTCCAGTTTCATGCCATACATATCTGGATTGAACAAAGATCATAACATTCATATATCTACTGGGTTTCTACATCCACCATATTTTAACGGGTCATATTCTATGTCTGAAAAATATGGGATTATCGGTTGGATTATGGGACGTGAGCTTATATCTGCAGGTGATTTTGACATCATGTTCCTTTTATCTAAATTATAATAATGTTGAAATTCAATGTTCATAATTAATCTTATCAGCTGTTTTCTATACTACATGAATAAATGAAACAGATAGGTTATTTGCATATCACCGGTTTTCGCTTACTTATGAGTAAGCAATCTGAGTGAAAATAATATAACAACATATCTACCGTTAACGTGCTGATCGATTGGATTTAAGTACTACGAAGAATACACATTATCTATCTTAACTCATACAGTTAAACTACCATCACAGTTGATTAGAAAGAGAATATAAATATATCCACTCCGTTTAATTTACACACTGATATTAGAAACAATCTTGAATATATGTGGCAAATGGAGTATGAGTACAATGCATTTGGTTTGATATAATATGATACTTACATTTATACAAATCTATAGAATACTTACTGATTATTTGTGCTCTCCGATAAACCGTAAGACAGTAAAAAGCTTATTAGCAGTAAGTATGTATGTACATACAAATGTATATATATATATATATAATTGTGCAGCATTGAAAAATGAACTCGTTAGTAGGAATTCATTTTGATAAATTCTGTCATGATAGCTGGCAGTACTTTAATGTCATTCACACTTTCCGCATGCGCATACAAATCAACTATAACTGTCATGTTATGCATGACTCAAGCTATGAAACGAATTCAGGAGAGAACTACAATTTCTAATATACTGTTTAGTAGCTGTTGAAATTGTAATCTATACACTTAGTTACAATTCTAATGTTCAAAACAAAACATTTGTTTTATAGTTTCTAGTGACCATCAGATAGATAAACCAGAATCATTTAAATCACAACTATGTTGTCTACAAAAACAAAACAATTCCCGAATATTTGGAAAAAAAGTAAGTTGTCCTTTAAAATGTTCATTATATCGGAGAATAACTACTTCCTTGCATAGCTTTCAGTATTCAAAATGAAAAGTTAACTGTCGAAGTATGAATTTCGATAATTGATGTGTTCACGTAAGATATCTGTGTAGCTAATGTGTCTTGTGTAAATAAGATTCAAAGGTATATTATGTTTGTGATCTGCACATCATTTCTGGATGATTTGTTAACCAATGGCTTATTCAGAAAGATTATAAACAACAGATTTGAACATTTGTATCAATAGCATACCTAACCAACCAAAGTGTGAGATATCATTCAAGAAATAGGTGAATTTAGTTGAAATTCGAAGCAAGGCAAAACACTTTTAGGTTTACCTCACCTAATTTATCAACTGTTGTTCTTACAAATTCTGAAATATTACTGTCAGCAGCCTCAGAAATTCCAATAATGAGGCGAATTGTAAAGTGACGTGTACAGCAAGCTCCAATTCCCAAGGTCCTTTCCGAGTATGATCTGGTCATTTGAAGAAAATAAATGATATTAGTTAGAACTAGATAAATTGTTACGCGCTCAAATCCTTATACAAATATTCTTAGCATCCTTCACTCCTGATTTTAAAAAAGCCACTTCTGTCAGCTGGTTGTGACGACAAGACTCAACTAAGGGTGAGTAACCACAAATAAGAACAGTTTCAGATGAAGTCATTACATGAAAGCCAGTTCTCATATAATGTATATAACCAGCCAATATATTTCAGATAATAAAACTTGAATCATAAAAGGTAGTAAGTCAAACATAGTGATATCACAAGAAATATCTGCTACTGGTCACCTTCATTAGTAAAATTGTGGAATTTTAATCTAGAGACCAAGTTCCGATGGATTCAATATCCATGTTTAATGTTTATTCAGCTACATCGTGAGTTGGCTGATCAACTATACTTAAGATTTTAATGATGTTATGTTAACTGTACAAAGTTCGAAACTGATAAGTTTTGTTAATTTAAATGCCTTATTCGGTTCCTAAGCTGTTCTGGTAACCCGCAAGCTTGAACTACACAACGACCTGAACTTGAGAGAAAAGGCGCAGAATAAGCGAAAAGCACTTTACTCCAAAGGTTCATTTTTGTACAGAAAAACACGGGTATCCATAGATGTTAACATTTGTTAAATCAACATCAGATTTTGGCCAATCCGCTAAAAGACATATTATGCTACTGACCAATGGTAGCATGCCACGTTGATATTCTAGAAAGCTCCGTCATGCTTTGATTGGCTAGGACTCTACGGCTCCTTTAGGGTCTCTGGAGGCTCCGTTGCAGTTCTCGGAAAGCCGACTCAACAGAAACTTAATCATACCTTCTTCCACAAAGCGACATTTGTGATGTCATTATAATTCTGTATATCATAAAAATGTGCCTTTCCAGACGAACCATTCTAGGCCATCCACATCGTGACTGAGGTCAACTAGACGTGAAAATTCTAAGTTTGTTGTCTTCACTTCAGATCGAATCCCTGATAAAGTGAAGGTTTTCATCATAAGGATAAATCGTCGTTCTGTCATCAGAAGGCTGGTATCCGCAACAGATATGAACATACTGCTAAAAACACTTAAAAAATACTTGGTAAACCACTTAGTCATAGTGTGGATCCAACCATCCATATTCTTTCCATTAACTTCAGTGCTTCAAACTCTTGTAGAAGTCAACGTTCATACATTATACAGCGGACATCCATCAAATCAAGATATTCCATCCACTTTCGTTAAAGAGCATGAATCGGAGAGTTATGAAAGTCTACATTTTTATCATATATTGTCGTACTATTAACCGGTTCTTTCGTGGTTGAATATCACAATAGATATTACTGTTGTTTCAAAAAACATAAGGACAGTCCTTTGTAAACTGCGCACTAATATGATTATCCGACATGTAGTTGCTGTATGTGAAGCTCATCTACTGTTTTCCATCAAACCTATAAGTTAACAGTTCTTTATTCTTTTCTTTTCTCATAGATGTTACTATATAAGGCTATTATGATGTCTACAGTCATTAACTTTTAACCAGCTTCTTAGCTCATTCGACTACTTTTGCTTAACATTCAGTATTCAAACTGTTTCACATGCAGTATTTAGTTAACGAAATGTCCTCGAAAAGAATATTTAAAAACAGGGATTACTTGAGTAAACAATCGTTTTCGATAACCCATATAGACTCAACAGTTACGAACATTATCTGCTGTGTCACACTAGACAGTATAATAGTGTATACGTCTAATATTCATGACTGAATAAGTCGTTTCTCAAAACTGATAATAACTATTTTCATGTGAATTAGAATGGATTGAAAAATTTAGTAGTTAAATTCATGAGTCAATTGAAGCTAGACCAACATGGAACACCTGGAAGCACTGGACAGCCCTTTCGTCCTGGTATGGGACTCCTCAGTAGTACGCAATTGAACGTGATACGACATAGGATTGAAAATTAAATAATTAAACTATTTTATACACATTCGCCATTATTATACTAAATTTATATTCTAGAATTTGAGATCATTGTCAAACGATATTAATGGGCTTATGTTATCCTTTAGAGTAAGTAAAAGCAGATAAGTTCATATTTATTAAATCCTGTAATTGTTAAAATTCATACTTTACAAACGTCATCAATATTCACAAGCAATAAATACATCTTCAATACACTGAACTCAGTAGTGGATAACGCGATGGCGTTTGAAGCGAACGGTATTTGGTTCGAGTACCGGAGTGAACATCAACTCTGGGATGCAGGTACATCCAGTTGACGAGTCTTAAATGGGACAGAACGGGCGTCCTGGATTCTACTGTTAGCCACTATCCATCTTTGCTTAAAAGCTTGTAACTTAAGGCCATATCGAGGTAATCCGCACAGGATGAACGTATGCCAACAAGAGACTGATCAGTTGCAGTCCTAAATAACAATGGGAAGATACAAGTAAAACAACACCAAGTGAATTTACGCTGGACTCATTTGAAAAATTATGGATCACATTTTAAATTAATCAATAAGGTAGCTCATTTAATAACTGATTAATTTAATATTTTCTCGACTTCGCTTTGATCCAATTTCTTTGACTGTGCAGATGACTTTTTAAAAAAACTCCTTTAGAACGATGTGTCCACAGCTGATTAAATGCTCTTGTATAGAACTAGTAATTGTTTTTCATTCTCTATCTTATTTTAATAGAATAAATTCACAAGACAAGTAAATATGATACATTAATATGACTACACTTGGTATTGTTTGGCTTGTATCTTCCCATTGAGGTTTAAGACTGTAATTGATCAGTCTGTTATTGGCATATGTGCATACTGTGCGTATGCTTCGATATTACCTTAATTAATATGACTAACTGTAAAAAACAAAACTCAAAGAAAATACTCATTATTTTAAAAGAAATGGCATATTGTTTTTTATGAATGAATGAATGTATTTTCAACTGATAGTATGAAATTATTTAAGCCTAATAATATTAAGTTTAATTGTTGTGAGGATCACTTTTTTTTAAATATCTACCTCATTTGTTTAACTGTTGTTCTTTTTATAATGGATTAGAAAAAAGATAGTGTCGATAAAAGTTTATTTACAAGTGGATGCGCACTGCTGAGGAGTCCCATACTAGGACGAAACGGCCGTCCAGTGCTTCCAGGTTTTCAATGGTGGTCTAGCTTCAACTGACCCATGATTTCAATCTGTGAAAATTAATATTTGTAGTGGTTTTGCTTCGTTAATCAATCAACTCAATAACCATTATCAGAAGGCAATGAGAACCGGCAACTACAGTTTATTATTAGCGTATAGCGCAAATCACAAAGCTATAAGCACACCAAACGAATTTGAAGCGGAGAGATGAACAAGTATATGCGAGCAATTACATAGACATATTTATAGTCGAATTGTATAAGATCGCAGCAAGGTAAAGCAAAAGCTAATAATATGACTTGAGTACAATACATACATGGGGAAGAGGATGGATCATCGAGTGATAATTAAGCAATCAACATTTTGGTTAGAGTCTATCATGTGCTCTAGTGATCATAACAGTACAAAGAAATATGCTAATTGTTACTGTTCAAATAACACTGTCTGTTAAGTAAGTTAATGAAATGGTTTAACCAAAATTAACTATAATCGAAATTGGTTATAGGATAGTTGTTAGATATTTACACAGAATGTACTTTCGTATATATATATATATATATATATTTCAGACATATGGAAGGATTTGTATGCAAAATCGTAAAAACCTAGATGGAGAATTGTTTTTCTCAACATTTGCAAAGGTTAGTTTACTTAACGTTTAATAATTACCATTTTGAAAAAAATACACTTCATTAAGACTAATTTATACTATTATAGTATGTTGATATCGTGATATTGTGATGGGGACACTTCAATTATCAATATTTATATCGTAGTGAACGAGAACACAGGTGAGGACAGTAGAATGTAATCTGAGAACCATACAGTAAGTACTTAATTTGCAAAATGTCAATCAGTTGTCTCAAACTTTGATTGTTCTTTTTGCAAATGTCAATCAATCGTCCCACACTTCACTGTTCCTTCATTTCCACAACGATCATTCTCTATCCTGGTCCTCTTTTTTTCAATCTTCTTAACCTTCTATTGTCAGACATTTCACTTTTGATTAATGATTCATATTACTTATATCTATCAACATCAGTAGCACACACCACAATATAAGTTGTAAGTTATGATGAAGGTTAATGTTTTATTGTAGAATGAAAAAGGGATCTTCATTTAAATATTAGTATCCAATCTCTGAGATTAAAATCATTAAATCATAATGAAAGGTCAACTTTCTTTCATCAAAATAGAAAAATATATTAGTTGAATACTGGTAGTCAAGTATCGTTAAATCCTACTCCACCTCAAACATTTTCGACTGGCTAACAACAGTTATTATTTTAAGAATAAAGTTCTGATGTTGGGGTTTATTAGTAAACTATACTAAGTTCACAAAATAGAAATGAATAAAGTTGGAATAGAAAAGAGTCATATGAACAAGATTTGACTAAGTCTAAAATCCATTGAAACTCTTACAATTAACAATACACTACTTTAACTAGAATTTTACTGCTCATTTCATTGTCTCTTACGGCTGTCTACTTGAATATCTGGGCTACCTGTTCCTCCTATCATTTATATATATTAACAAGTTATCTTTTTTTGTTTTGACACACCAATTATGTCCATTAATCGTACAACCTACTCAGGCTCATATATAAACTTTTACGACCTACTCCTTTACAAGGTACAAAAATATATGATCAGAGACAGAGATAGCTGGCAATCTACATTGAAAAGAATGAGTGCTGATCACATGTTGATTACTGAACTGCTAACTTCCAACCGCCGATTATTCATTAACAAGGTGGACTATCTTTAGTTCCTACTAGGTTGAATCATTTACACAACGATTGTTTAGTATAACTACATGGTTTCAATATTTATCACTAGAATAGATCAATAAATAAGGAAAATTGTGGCGGCGATGTATCTACATCTGTATGAACTGGTGTTCATCTAGTTTTGCATAACTGCATCAGTTGTTAAACCTTAAAAGATTCCATCCAAAACACATGAACAGGTACAGCTATGCTTATGTTACCAAAATATGAGTGATTCCTCACTGTACTTCATCTGCACTATCTGTTTTCATTGACGAATTCACCAAAATGACTGTTGCTACCTTCAATCCTTCGCTTTAAACTATACGTGGTGATTTTAATACATGTGATTGTAGCTTTCTTTCATCATTAGGTCACCAAAATGTAGTCGATATCCTTGCACGTTTAGATGTGTATTTAGACTGTTCACATTAATGATTTGGGAATATATGTGACTCGTGAACCCACTCCATCACTTAATTCTGATTATTGCATTGCTCGTGCTCTAGCTAAAGTATATTGGCAAACTCGAGAAGAGTACGCTCTTAGATCTGACAAAGAAAGTTAAATGCAAGAATTATTCAAAAGAAAATATTTAAGATCCGAGAAAAACATTTTTGTACGACAAAATAGGTTGAGAGAAAGAATGTACGAGGAGAAAAACTCCATTGAAGTTCGAAAACTAAATGATCTAATAAACCTAGAGACCAGACCCCTGAAACCAATGTTTACTCAGAAACTCCTATCTTATAAAACTCTTCAATTATATGGGAACCATTTAAAGAAATCACAAGTGATAGGTACATTAGAAGTGATAACTGGCTCAATGTTTGTGACTTGAATATTTCTTTTGTAAGTCAGACATCTGATGTTATGCTTCCTATATCCACAGGTTTGAAGAATAGTTGTGCTTTAACTGATGTCCAAAAACATCTGTCACTTAACTCGTCCAAATGTGCAAGACCTGATTAAATCCCGAACCTCATTTTTAAGAAGTATGCTGACGTTTTGTTTTATTCATTCACGAGCACCTTTAACAGATCCTTCTCAACTAAGCTCATACCGAAAATGTGGAGAAAGTTAATCCCACTACCTAAGAAATTATCTGGCGATAAGAATGTGAATTTTAGACACATAGCAATAAATTCACCTTTTCTCAGAAAAATGGAAAAACTATTGCTACTCCCAATTAAACCTGCAATAAAAGAGTAAATTAATCAGTATCGGTTTGCTTACAAATGCAAAAGTAGTACCTTAAATGCTGTGCTCTACATCACAATATAGTGTTCAGCTCTGAAAAGGGCAAAAGGTATGTTGGATGAGCATTTCTAGAGTACTATTCTATGTTTGATTCTATTCTGAAACCACTAATACTAGACAAGTCTGCAGACGTCAACACCAACAGCTGGATAACCAATTGACTGCGTTCTTACCCACTGGAATAGAAAGGTATACTGTTCTTGAAGGACAGTGTTCGATTTCCCTACTGTCTTATAGTGCGTCACAAGGGACTGTTGTGTCTTCTCTTCTTTTCATATTTTTTTCTGCATGATCTACTATCTTCTACGAAAAACCCTTTCGTTGAGTATGCGGATGATCTCACTATATGCACATTGATTTCTGCCTCTTCACATCCCCTTGAATTGAATGAGTTCTTGTTGCCCACTGAACAATGGTCTATTGTTAATGGTCCCTTACTTCACTCTTCTAAATGTCAAATTGTTAATTCTAGCCTAAGACATAAATAGCACTTAAACTTTCTGTTGGAATCGCATAAAGTTTGTACTGTTAGAGATTCTGTACTATGTGGTGGTCCCCAAACAAAAGGAGCTTACACAAAATATATCGATAATCTAGGTTAACACTTATATACCAAAACGAACTAATGATTAAGAAACCTAGATGTCTGTCCGTTAGTAAAAACAAAGGTAATAAAATACCGTTAGCAATACAAAAGGTATATTAAACAAACAGACGCTAACGGTTACTATAGGATGAATGTTACTTGTTAACTGCCTCGTGAGGACAACGACCACAAACTGAGTTCACTTGGTTGACAGGTGTTTCTCTGCAAGTTACTGCACCAAAGACGTAATGAGGAAGACGGAGTCCAATAGTATTATACAATAGTAATCCGTGCCAAAAGTCCAACGTTGAGTCGGAAGGCCTATAATGATGTTATAATACTATTATAGTCTTCAATCAAAACGGTGGCCAATAAAAAAGAAGAACAAACGGCGTAGGTATTGTTCTATATTTTAAACAACCCGGTAGTAGAAGTGTATATCATTCATCGAAACAATTATCATCGTCTTTTTAACAAGTGATACAGCAAAACAACAGATATTGGATAAAAATGTGGTTACAAATAAAGTGTGACAAATTAGAGAAAAAATGTGGTTTTTATTTTTGTTGTTACAAAAATCACTGAATATATGTCACCATATAACTCCCCCTCTAGGGCATGCGTCGGTGGAAGTATGCCCGACGTAAAACTTTAAATGCTTTGAAGGTAGGAGAAAATTACACAACGAAAAGGGTAAACAAATATTATTTTTTTTTAAAAAAAATCATACGTGTATATATATTCAAGAACAAAATGTTTCTCTTGTAGTAAAGAGACTTTAATGTATATAAAAAGTTTAACAAGAATAACGAAGTGTATAATAATAACAATAATAATAATAATAGTATCATTAGTAATAACAGTAATTAAATTGAGAGTTCACCGAAGTGCAAATAAATGTATACATTGTGTAAACAATTAGTGATAAACTGAACGAGTCCAACGAAATTGGATATATTTGCACAATTAATATTAAACATCATATGAAACGCATACACATGTAGAGAAAAACATAATGAATTTATCAATATTAGTAGTACAAAAAAAAAATTTTTTTAGAAAAAAAATGCTCGCATAAAAAGAAATGTTATTAGTAACTCTGCTAATATAGATATTTAATCACATTACAGGTAATGACAGAATAAAGGTTAAGTAATTAATTCAACATAACGTTTAGGAAAATGTACATGTCTTCCTGAACGAGTTGTTTTCGTAGAAGGTAAAGTGTCGGAACTAGGATTTAAGTTTGTGGGAACTGTAACCTTAGAACGGTCTGTTTTACGAAATATTTATTTCGTCGGAGTTGGTGAAGAATTATTTGGAAACACTGGGAGCTGCGTTGTGTGATCTCTGCTGTCTTTAGACGGCTTTCGGTTGTCATGTGTTTCAAATTCTATAAAAGCAGGTTTTATCCGGTCGATTGAAACTGTTTCTTTTTTTCCGTTCTTATTGATTGTGAAATATTTTGTTTGCCTCTCAACTACTTCATATGGTCCTTCATAAGGATGTTGTAGAGGGCGTCTTACTGAGTCAACACGAACAAATACAAATTTACACGTATTTAGATGCTTGCTAACTTGCTCTTTTAAGACAACTGGCCGAGGTGCAACAGGCTTAATGTTATTCATATGACTCATTAGTCTTTCGCAAAAAGAAGTGGGATCCGTACATACGGGTTTGCCATTATGCGTCACTAGATGCCCCGGTAAGGTTAAATTAGCTCCATAGACGAGCTGTTCAGGAGTACATTGTAGGTCTTCTTTAATTGTGGAACGTATGCTTAGTAAAATAAGAGGTAGAGATTCACTCCATCTAGAAACATCAGGTTGTACCATCAATGAGCTTTTTAGTTGTCTGTGGAATCGTTCCACTAGTCCATTCGCTGCTGGATGGTATGCTGTTGTAGTGATGTGATGGATTCCTAAAATGCGGGTGAATTCATTGAAGAGGTGAGATTGGAACTGTGAACCTCTGTCCGAAGTAACTGTAGAAGGTACACCAAAATTAGCGATCCATCTGTCGAGGAATACAGCAGCAACATTTTCCGCGGAGATATCTTTTATTGGGCATGCAATTGGCCATCTAGTAAAACGGTCCACTGCAGTAAAAATGTAAGTGAATCCGTTAGATGGAGGAAGAGGACCAACTAAATCAACATGAACATGTTGAAAACGATGGTCGGGTAGACTAAATGCTGACGGTGTTGTAATCGTATGTCTATGTATTTTACTGCGCTGACACTGTACACAAGTCCTGGTCCATTTTTTTTATATTTGCATTCATCTTTGGCCAAACAAATCTTTCAGCAATCAGTTTCACAGTAGCACGAATCCCTGGATGGGATAGTGAGTGAAGACAATCAAAAACTTTTTCTGTACACTATTGGCACAAAAGGTCTGTGAGTTCCAGTAGAAGTATCACAAATGATAGTAGAGTCAGAATGCGGTATAGGAACACTTTTTAAGGACAAGCTCGAACTTTGTTTACAAGCATCAAGGTCGGGATCATCTGTCTGCAAACGTGCCATGTCTGATAAATTGATTCCTTTGGTGAAGGAAATTGCATCGACGTTGAAACGTGACAAAGTATCCGCAACAACATTTGACTCACCTTTTATAAACTGTATGTTGGTCGAAAATTGGGAAATATAATCCAATTGTCGCATTTCTCTAGGGGAATAACGGTCACTTTTCGCGTTAAAGGCATAGGTTAAAGGTTTGTGATCAGTATCACAAGGTCTCTGCCTTGCAGTAAATGGTTGAAATGTTTAACAGCTAGATAAATAGCCAATAGTTCTCTACCGAAAGTGCTATATCGAGTTTGGGTTGGTTCTAGCTTCTTTGAAAAGAAGGCAAGTGGTTTGACCTCATTATTAACTCGCTGTTGTAGTACCGCACCTACTGCTGCCTGTGATGCATCTGTACACAGGATTAGTGTTGCTTCCGGGTCAGGGCTTAAGTAGGTCAGCATGGTAGTAGAAGCGATTGCTGTTTTAGCTGCAGAAAAGGCATCTTTCGCTTGGGAGGGTAATGTGAACTTTTTGACTTTACCTTTTAACACCTCCATCAAAGGTTGTAGGATGTCTGAGCAATGTGGAATAAAGCGACGATAAAAATTGATCATCCCCAAGAAACGTCGAAAATGTGGTTTTTATTTTTGTTGTTACAAAAATCACTGAATATATGTCACCATAACTACAAACAGCGTCAAAGGCCACTTGGCATAACTCTCTCCTCTGCTCTCTCTTGGTCTTCTTATTTTTTATTGGTATCGAAGAAAGTTTTCTCTTTGATTTACAGTATAAACAGGTTATATGCTTTTGGCATTGCTCAAGGCTTACTTTTACGACTCGTAAATTCATACATAGAATCTATTATTTTTTACTGTTCCTTATCAATCCTTCTCGGGTTTTAAAACAAAACATTTCTCTGTTTTTCGGAGTGTCAAAGGAAATTGTTAGGATATGTAGTGAGTCTTTTAAAGTCATTATGAATATGGTTTGGACAAACATTTAAAATCATGCAAACTCCTGGCAGGTATTATCTTATCAGATATAAACCATTCACTTCAATCACATCTTTCCCTTTGTATATCCATACACCAAAGTAAATGTAATAAAGATCTACAATATCGCATCTGGCATTTATACTATGCGACGAACAAGTTGTAATAGCTGACCTAACCAAAAACTTGTATCCTTAAAAATGTTGTTAATTAAGTTATTTTATTATTATTATTTTATTTTTTTTAAAAACATTACATTTAATTCCAGATGGTTTATTCACTGATCTTATGTATAAATGTATGCAGTGGTCGGTTTGTTCTCCGTTGTAAAAGAAACGTGTTGAAATACTTTTACCTAAGAATTTTATATGGTACCAAACATATAATATTGAATAATGACATTAATTACATAACATTTCAGTATCTTTTCTTTTCCTTCTGTCATCTATTTTGTTCAGTAAAACAACACAGTTTAGAGCTTCTTCCTTATATTCCTGTTAATTTCTTCTAATCTAAGAATATAATAAAACGATCATGTATTACATTTATTCAGTTAACATTTTGATACACTAATTATTCACTTTATTATCACTTTTTTTTCAAATAACTGAAGATGATGTGTGGTGGCTACTTTAATGATACGATTAATAACAAGTTCAAATCGTCCAAGCTAAAATATACATTCAGGTAACACATTTGTAATTTTAATCAGTTTACTAAAAACTAAATTATACTTGCTATATGTTTTCAGAATAGTGGTTACAAATTAGTTTGACAAGAGTATTACTCACTACTCAACATCTCCTCAGTAGTTATGGTGTAAACAAAAAAACTAACATGAGCAGAAAAATATGATATATTCTTCTGACAATAATTAATCATTATTACCATCCCCTCACATAGGGATTTTCAGTAACAAATTTTTGCGTATGCGATAGAAGAGCCAGATCATCTGCGAAGTCTAGATCGTCCAGCTGCATCCTAGCTGTCCACTGTATCCCATGTTTCCCTCTCCACAGATGTTAACGTCCTCATGACCCAGTCGATCACCAGGAGTAAGAGAAAGAGTGAGAGCAAGCAACCTTGCCTGACACTGGTCTTTACTTCGAACGGGTCTGTCAGATGTCCTCCGACTGGAATATATATATATAACTGTCCTCCGGATATTTAAGCCAGAACCCTCCAAATCTCAGCAAACTTTGTCAGCGAACAGTGCACCTGGCTCAACACTTATCACTTGCCATTTGCTTCTGGACCAGCAAGTGTGTACAGGCACGTGATATGTTTGTATTCGCTAAAAATATCATTTATCCCTCTAATAATGGATCGTCCTTTTTGAATTTACATGACAAGTTTATAGCACACAACCACGTCTCTTTCGGGAGATATACTGTTTTCAAGGGGTTTTGATTCAGATGGGCGACTCCTTTTATAACGCTCCCGAAAGTTTAATTTTCCCAGCTGCCCTTGAAATTGGTTAACATGAAAGGAGTGCATGTTGTGATTATTCTTATGATGCTGAAGACTTTTAGCGATATCTATGTCTTTTGTCTTGTATAAATCTTCTCCTTTCATCAATGGATGTTTGAGATACAAGTTAATCGCTTGTAAATAGTTGGTTGAAATCCCTTGTGAATGAAAACGACACTTGATCACCAATATGATTTAGTGAATTACTATGGAACGTAGCATTTAAAGTCAATAATCACATTAGTGAATTGAAAAACTCTTATGATTAAACTACAAGGGTGTCTATAATATAATCATTGACAGAGTGAATACTTGACTGAACAAATTTGTACCAAGGTTGACGAGAAATTAGTGAAACATTTGACGAAGTTTAAAACTGCTGTTACATAATATAATCACTAGCATTAGTAAACGTTAACTTACGACCGAAAGTGAAATAAGTATGAGATATAATATTAATTGGATAACAATGAGTCTAATCGCTCGATTATAGGTAGCATGATTTAGAGACTTTAACAAGCATCTGAAAGCCTGAAAAATTTTTATGCATGACCACTGGAATCACAAATTCTTCAATCACTCTTATTAGAAAATGAATTTGGAAACTGTTAAATTCCATAGTTTTAACAAATCATGTCTGGCAGATAATTAGAACCAGATTTGTTACCAGACATACTAGATATAACCCATGGGACGAATGAAAAATGAGTTTGAACGCCGTAGATACTGGAATTGAGGATTGGTGAATTTTTTCAAATGATTAACACTACACGTTAAAAAAAATGATTTCGTCTAGTTATCGTCGTTTTATATTCGAACATATGGGTACACATCACTCAGTGTGGTTTATTTAATGTACTGCTTAATATTTCAGCTTGTAACATATTTCTCATTTGTTTTAGCAGATATCTCAAATCTCCTTTCAACATAACCTCATTTTTACTAATGTAGTTATGTTCTTTTCAGTGTCAGTTGAGACGAATAGAAATATTAAGTTTACAATATTTGCATTTAATCTGTTTCAATAAATAAAATCAACATCTTATTACTTTTATGCATGAAAGATTATGATAGTCCATCACTTGACCTACTAATGACAATATATTTCACTCCAATATACCTCTTTACCAGTGTTAATGACGTTCTGAAACACAGTCAAGAATTCTCCGACGTATACCAATGTCCAGTTGATTCCAAAATGAATCATGAAGAAAAATGTATTATTTAAATGAATGTAGAAATTATGTGTATTAAAATATTGGTTTAAATGTGTCTTCAATTTTGTAACCATATTGGTGGTAATGTATTTGTTTATCTTTTTCAAATATAAATATAATCTAACAAGGAAATTAAAATTTAATACAGTTTTCTTCTCCATTTCAATCAATTGATTTTGAAGATAACACGAATGGACTGACATTTTGATTCAGTTGAAGAAATAGTTCGTTTTTCTTAAATGCTGTTGCCACAATGCTCAAATATTTTATAAATGATATAAATCATTTTGAAGTTGAATCTCTAGGTCATTATTTTTGTGATGTGTTTTGAAGAAACAATATGCAAGAAATAGATGTATCAACGGACCTTCTACTTTGAAGAACTGATATTTACCAGAAATACATCTTGAATACTCTTATAGCCAACTTAGAATTAAAATTTTAAAAATTATTGACTAAATATTAGTAATTTATAAAATACCAGTTTAGATATGTTATAACTTGTAGTCTGAGCGCTCTGTTAATGTATAACGTGATGATACCATTAATTAGAGAACAGTGAATTATCGATTGAACCAATGACTCATAAAACCTGTACGAACAGTCTAGAGTACTTATCGGTCGTGCTTCCTGTCTAGCCCAACCAGTTAAGTTCAGAACATCAATCTGAGCCTATGTGATATGAATCATTTATTTCAAACATACTGAGTTTATATACCAATCAAACAGACCAAAACACACCATAAAATATGAAACAACATTTGTACAACATTTGGCCAAAAGTGGCTGTGAATGTGGGAGATAGTGAATAATAGACAGAGCATAATTCAAGAATGATAAAGCGTATAATAATAGTTCATAGGTCAAAATAAAGCTTATGATAAGAGCATCACGAACATGAATAGTTTAGTTAGTTAACAATTATAAGATAAAAAATATACGTATAGTATTAGTCCATAAATGGATCCCATAAGTTATCATTCACTATTCTTATCGGGAAATAACAATATCCCAGTTTAGAGTATTCAGACTGACAATTTTGATTTGAAAGTCGATTAAGTTCGACAAATTATTAGTTTCTGATATATACAAATAGCTTTGAGTGAAAACCTCAGTTAGCGAAGTCATTCCTTGTAAATAGATAATAATTGACTTAATGTACAGTCCAAACTGTTTATAATTTACTAGTGATGTATCATAGCATCTCATTATTTGTATTCAACTGAAATTTTTGCAAATTACAAACATCCTATATGACATCATTTCATGTTCTAACTGTTCATTTTAATTGACTTAATAAAATGGTTATGAAAAGTTACATCTAAAGCATCTGGAAAAACCATGTAGAAGATCATAATAAACCACAGATTATTGACGAAAATACCTTAATTGTTTGCAATACTAACGCTTGGTTCTCCTCTTTATATCAACGAAACACTAATTTGCCTTAAAAGAATATCTACACTAGATACCCTGCTAATGTCTATTATATAGGACTTCAACACAACTCGGGTCAAGAACACGTGATTGGCCCGAACAGAATGGGAGTATTTTTCTACATCAACCACCGACAACAATGACAATAATGATGAGGATAGGAAAATATATAACACATCTAATACCTGACAGACTATCTACTAGGCTGACTAGGTTAATGACCAGTCATTATTTTTTCCGGCCAAACATATATATATATATATATATATATATATATATATATATATATATATATATTTACTCAAGATAAACTAAGTTGATATATCAAAATAATAATGACGACAAAGTCTTGTAAATATAATATATGACAACAGAAGGTTTGTAAAGCAGTTACTCGCCATTGGTATTAGAGAATTATTGCAAATTATCACTAATCGGTTGAAGCATTTCATGTAATCCCTGCCAAATCAATAGTCTGACAACAGGCATTCATCAAAAGGCTTGATGATCTTAGGTACAATTAAAGGTGAGGTCGTGGATATTCACTGTCGAGTATTCATATACCAGGACGAAATAGCTATCCAGTGCTACTTGATTTTTATGATATAAACCATGTAATTCAAAAGTTTCCGAAAACCCTGGCGATAATAATATTTATAGTCATATATCCATCTATAGTGCTATACGAATTCAGTTTAAGACGTAATTCTCCTAGAAATTAAATCCTTCTTAAGCTAAATCTAATATATTAGACAGAAACTTCTTGACTGTTTGTTTAGCCGCATTACTTTATCCAAAGCAGAAATTCCCTCATCTTTACAGATCATAAGCTCCTGACACACGTTTTAACGTCGATTTCAATCTCTGTTCTTCTACAGAAACTCGACAATTGGATTGAATATCAAAGTTCTCCACGAATATACAGTTCTGTAAAGAAAAATCTTACATGAATGCTGATTAACTTTTTTGAACTAAACTTAAGTGCCTTGCATTCATTTAAAAGAATTGATTTACAAGAAATCACACAGATATAGGCTAATAATTTGAGAGTAAAAGGATATCGAGAAATTTCCATAGTAGGTTGGCAAGCATTTATGCTTTTTCTAAGTTCGAATCATTGATGAAAATGAGCTTCACGCCGAAACAAAAAACATTTGTGCTATCGTGTGATAAGAAGACGAAGATTATCAGAACTATAGTTCCGAATGAATGCTGGAAATAAAATGGAAAGTCCGAACAGACGGATTATGTCTCGAAGTTCATGAGTTTTATGGAAACCTAACTAGAATTTTAAGAGAGCTTTTATTTCAGAATGTGCTGACCGACGAAACTTTGAAGACGTTCTTGACCGAGGCCAAAAGGATATTAAATAACAGACCATTAGTTAAAATGGCGGATGATCCTGGCATGCTAGAGGCTCTTACTCCGAATAAATTGTTATTGATTTATAAAGGATCATCCTTCGACAATGTTTCTGCGGATAGGACTTTATTAGACAATAAAAGATGGGAAGCTCAGCGGTTAGGTACCGCATTTTGGAATAAATAGACAAGAGAATATTTGCCTACACTCCAAACAAAAGATAAATGGTTGAACGTACGCAAGAATTTACAACCAGGCGACCTAGTTCTCGTTAGTAACATTGAAGCAAGTAGAAGTCTATTGCCTAAAGCCATTGTCGAACAGGTAAGCTATGGTCCTGACAGATAAGTTCGTACAGCGAAGTTGAGAACGGCAAACTAAGAAAACGTTCGGGATGTACGAAGTCTATGCCTACTGGGAGAAGCCAGTTATCTGACGACCCAGGACGACGGACGTAGTGTGCGTCTCGAGGGGAGTGTAAAGTGGGGTCGATAAACGAACCCATCAACGATAACACGAAACACCCACCACCACACTAACTTTCTTTAACCTTGTATGACTGCCTTGCTTATTCATCAATCACAAATTCATGTTCATCATAAAACAATGTTCGCTTTGTTGACTCATTTTTCTTATCCTCTAGTTACTGTTCGGTATGTTATTTATATCTCTCCTTTTTCCTGTTTAATAGACTGTATTGCATGTTTTGTATATTAACAGCGGTAATTTACGTTTTAGAAACAGAAAAAGTTTATCAAGCCAAATAGCTTACTTGTTCTGACTTTGGCTAAGCTAAGACTATGTGCTCGACAGTCTAGAGAATAGTTTAGAATTTCACCTGTAGGAAACTACTTTCTACCTATGGAACTCAGAACGACTATCAGCCAATATTAAAGATTCTTCAATTTGTACGTCGACAGTCCTACTGTACGGAGCTGAAGCTTGAAGAACTACTACAGCCATCATCAGAAAAGTACAAGTATTTATAAGCAATTGTTTACATAAGATACTGAATATCCATTGATCGGATACCATCAGCAACACCCTACTGTGGGAAAGAACAAACCAGCTTCCACCTGAAGACGAAATTAGAAAAAGATGTTGAAGTTGGATAGGACACACATTGAGGAAATCATCAAACTGCATCAGGTGGAAGGCGCTAACTTAAAATCCTGGGGGTAGTGTTATATCTAGATATAATTTTTTGCTATAACGCGAATAACTTGAACACTGGAACACTTGAACCCTCCAAGTCCCAAGGAGTCTTATTCTAACCAGAGTCAAATACCCCTGTTTTTAGTATGAACGAAATTTTCATTACAATCACCCAATCTACATGCAGTGGTTCTTGGCATTTTCTCAGTGGGGAAGCTGCACGTCGAGATTCTGGAATTTTGCCTTAGAAGTAATCAAAGGAGCTACGGAAGATGACGAGATATTAAGAGAAATTAGGGGTTATTTTCTAACCAAATGGCTAAACCGTCGTTTTCAGGAAGAAATATTTTCACCGGCGTGACTCACTTATGATCGTTGATTCATGTATTATGTTTGATGACAGAACCAGTGTCACAAAAACATTACGCCAAGAGTTTTTAAAATAAGCCCACAGCGGCTATCCCGGCATCAACGAGATGAAATCGTTGGCTCGAAGCCACACATTTTGGCCTACAATGGATCACGATATAGAAATTAGATGCTACAATTTTTCGCCGTGCCACTAAAAAGACAAAAATGCAAAGAAATATGAACTAAAACAATTAAAAAGGCCTTAAAGTTCCTAGAAGGAGCTCCATGAAGATTTTTCTAACCCAGCACTAGGGGAAACGTTTTGGTCATTTTGGATGCATTCACGAAATGTCCAGAAATATATGCTATATTAAATTGCACGGCAGATGAAACAATCGGCAAGTTATCTGATTTTTTCGGCTGTTTCGGACTTGCAGAGACTTTAATGGCCGATGACAGCCCAAATTTCATTTAGGAGTCACTCAAGCCCTTGTATAATATGAGTGGAATAACATGTCTTTGCTCACCACCCTATCACCCTAAATCCAATGGACAGGCACAACGCTTTGTCGACACCTTCAGAAGAGCATTACTGGAAACGAGAGATGAGGGGACAACAGGTCAGGTAACCACAAAATTCCGAATAGCATAATAAACTACTCCAAGCCCAAGGATGAAAGTTGGGAAGACATCATGAAAAACGAAA